ATGTAGCTTGCTGTTAGTATTACGAAAATTTTTAATGTATCCATAAATAAAAATGTATCTTATCAAACAATAAGTACTTGAATTGTTGAGTCTGTAATCCGTAGGTTAGTGATAAAATACATGCATTAATGTACCTATGGACATGCCTGCAAAGAAAAGATTGAGAAAATTGTTATTTAATAATTTATTATTCGTGAAATATCGTTTTTCAACCAATATATTTACAAAAATTTATCGGACTTGTAAAAATAAGTGTTTGTTGTATACTAGAAAAAAAAATCTTTTTGTTATGATTGTTTGGGGTATCACATTGACACTAATGTATTTAGCATACTTAAGAAATAATAAACTTTTATTACAACTTTATGAAGTATTTCTTTTCGATACGTAAGTTTGTTTGGAGGTAATAAGATAATTAACTAAAGCTCTCATGGTGCCAACAATACTGTTAGCTTTTGAAACACTCAGACCTACATTATATTATGTACCATTGACCTTTTTTAAAAAGTAACGTTTCAAATAAGGATCATATAGTAAAACGAGTCAAATAACACGCTGTATTTTCTTCGTCATATACTCCGCAATCAGAGTGCACGACAGTCCAAATTACTGCTAGAACTTGTACAAACCGTTATACATCAAATTGAAATATTGTTAAATTTTTTCTCAATAAATATGACCGTATACGTCGTTTTTAATTATCTACATCTGTGTAACCAATACTGCTTTAACTTCAATATTTTAGCAAAAAGAATCATGCGGTATTTACGTACTTTATATACGGAGCTGTATATGACTCGTCTAAAAGCTTAACTCAATTAAAACTTGAGGAGATTTAGATAGCAAATATACCAAATTGACAAATTTCAAGGTGCTTCAAAAGCTACAAGGTCATAATGTTCTTAAAAAACTGAATATGAGTAAAAAAAGGTTTATTAATATTAAGAAACAAACTTAGTATTGTGGAGCATGACTATTTCAATGAATTCAAGATAAACAAAAATTTGTTTGTACCAATTCTATTTATACTCTTCTTAAAATAGTAAAGTTAGAGTCCTTGTTTTATACTTTATTTTTATGATCGTAGTGGCAATTGAATTTTAAGTCTAACAAATTAATTGTGAGATACTTTTTGTCAATAAATATTATTGAAGATCACGCTTTTTTAGATTGGAACATTAAAAAAAAAAAATTTTAAATACCCAAAAAGACCTGCACTAATAGGAGAATTTTAATACAAACAATCTTACTTTTGAGCTTTTTAATAACAATCTTTAAAGTTTTACGTATTCTGAGAATCATTTAAAAAAAAAATGTATCGAAAATTGCATGTTTTGTCTCAAAAACAATGAATGTACGATGTTATGAAATATAATGCAATAAAAACGTTAATAGAAGCAATGCGCTCATTAAGTTTATTCATTATTTTAAAATTAAGTTTTGTAGAAAAA